CCGCTTTCTTTATTATACAGCTTTTGTGCAAATTCAACCATTAGCTCTCCCAACACACTATACACTGTATCCATACAAAGTTTAGGACGTCAACAGTATTGTCAAGCTGAGACATCAGTGTGTGAATGATCACATCAATTATAGTAAATGTTATAGATTTATCAATCTTCAGACGTTAGATAGTCACATACAGAAGCCCTGCTGGGGTTCCTCTCACAACCAATCGACCAGTCTTAGATTAGCTTCTGTGCTTTTCGAAATATGCCATGGATACAAAAAGAAAGTCACTTTCAACAAGATCTCACAGATTGAACCCTTGCCGTAGTAGTAATATTGAGACTTGTGTTTTACTTTAACTTTATGTTTGTTCTGTTTGGGGTTATGTGTGTACATGAAATAGTCTTGCTCATATGAATGAAATTCACGATGGAAAATGCTTAAATGAATGTTTAAGCATTTTTTGAAACTGACACGGGAGAACGCGTCTCAGGCGTTCTAGAAAACAAAATTCTCCTTGGGGAGACCCCCACAATCCACATCGATGGGAAGGGGTAAGACCCCCTAGCTTTTGCTAATCTGTGACATTACATAGGTCTATTGAGAATTTCACATCATAGATACACGTAGTTAGATACATTCATTTATCCCCGTCATGAACTTATAAAGTATGTTTTTAAGAGTAGTCCTAGGTCTATTTTCAGAAGGGCTCCTGGATATATATGTATACATATATCTAAACCTCGATATAGGAGCTACCGTCATCTTATGTTCTGATGTTGATGATATAAAAAGAGTTTGGTGGACACAACAGCAAAAAATCTGAAATTAATCTGTTGATATTGGCTCCGACATTTTAAACATATAGTTAATTTAGATTCATCAGGAAAGAGATATGACGCAACGGATATTTTCGAGGAATTCCAACAATCGACACATTTTTGTCGGAGAGAGAAATAGGAGAGCTGTCTTTCGCATTTGAAATGCATTTGAATTTTTGCGATGCTTTCCAATAACAAAGTGAATGAATCAACCAAATAATAATGTCTGAAAAATAAATTAAAACACTCAAAAATGTATCTAAAAAGCCACCAGAGGGCACGACAGAGCTTCTAGATCTAAAAAAAATCCGTACCCCTCTTAAAAGGCTTCGCGCCTTCGTCGCTCGCATTCGCAGCTACGCACCTGCCTCCCATACCCTCCCCCTCCTCGCGCTACGCGCTTCGGTGTGTTGCCTTCGGCAGCACATTTCATCATTGGGCTTACACATTGAAAACCCCTTTGTAACGCCCCTGGAAACAATCTTAAGGTTTTCTAAAATAATATTAAGTGTTGACTTAGCCAATCACAAATAACGTCATAAAAGGAGCAAACAAGTCCAATATTGTTTCATGATCCTTTTTCAAAATTTCAAAAGGAATTGGGCAACAGGCGTAATGCCTATACAAGCCCGCTCCTATGGTATGGACAATGTATGTTATAATATATTTATTGTGAACTTTTTTTCTACATCTAGGACATAAGTCATCGACCAGAGTTCCCACGCAGTGTCTCGTTAATTTAAGTTATTTTAGTCATATATGCGTTATGGGAGTTATCTCCCCTACACCACAGAGGTGGATTGTGATACAGATCAGTAAAGCATCTCTGTTACCTTGATTTTTATTAAAAAATGGCATGGTTCAGGCAGACGACCATGACTTAGCAGGATTTTCACTTTAGGAAGGATTTCATTCACATAGAATTGGAGTTTCAACTAGAGAATAAATCTACTTGAGAGTAAAAAAAAGTCCAAAATTATTTCATGATCCAGAGTTTATGTACAATGAGGCAGAGGTAATACATTAAAAATACTATTGTTAACGGTAGCCTATTTTACACGGTCGTTGAATTTCAAGGCTGGTTGTTTCTAATTGGTAACGTAATTGATATCTGAATCATTGAGGAATAGGTAAAGAGGCCGTGTCTCTTAGTCAAATCTCCTCGCAAAAACCAGAGCGAGTTCTTTATCAGACAAAGATTTAGCTCTACCACAGAACATTATTCAGAGTTCTGAACTTTTGTTCAGATGCTTAACATTTATGTCAAGCATTATATTGTATACAATTATCATATAAGGCTTGAAAACAGTGAAACCCCTGAGTGATTTACGAAAGAAAGTATAATGACTAAGAATTTTAGTATCCCGAAAGAAATCTTTCTGACTAAGTGAAATGTGTATACACAGATATTTGTCAATATCCACAGTTTATTACACACTATATAAAGAGGAAATTTAAAAAGGTAGGAATGCAAAACGTATGTCATTATTTGTCGTGCGTCCTAAACCTTGTATGGATATAGTGTATAGTGTGTTGGGAGAGCTAATGGTTGAATTTGCACAAAAGCTGTATAATAAAGAAAGCGGAAGCCGTGATATTTAAATGAACCTAGGCCATCAACCCCGACATATTCCTCTATGCAGTGTGAGCAATATTATACCGCCTTAGTAAGCGTACTGCTAACAGAGGTAATTTCAAAGGGAAAGGAGTTAAAAAGTAAACTAACAGAACTATTAGAATAGAAGATTTACAGATTTTGCATTTTTTGTTTTCACAAACTGACAATCAATATAGTAGGAAAATTGTATGACTGATAAATGTCGTTTTAATAGGATTTTATTAGACGACTTTCCATTTCAGTGGTGATGTATGTACATGTAAGCAGTCATGCCGAACAACCTACTTGACAACTAGTATATAGAAGCGATCAAAACAAATATATGTCAGAGGTAATACAACCAGAACACAAAATGGCCAGTCAGGGGTGTGTTACATACCCCGACCAAGTCAGAGAAAAACTGGCAGGCAAGACTATCCTGATCATCGGGTCTAGCCAACGTGATCAACGATTTATATGGAATATTTTCTTAGGGGCTCAAACATTCCTAGCAATGGCGTATCCAACATCAATTCATGAATATCTATTTACTGGCATCCATTTGTAAACTTTGTTTGTGGTTTTCAAAATTATTATTATTTCAGATTCAAAACTATACATCACATTTTAACGTTGATACACAATAAGTAGTCCAAGGGAACTGTTTTATTTACACATTTTTATTTTATTTTCTGCAGTTATCACTTTCTGTAAGTACTGTTTTTCTGCAGTTATCACTTCCTATAAGTACTGTTTTTCTGCAGTTATAACTTTCTATGAGTACTGTTTTTTCTGCAGTTATCACTTTCTATAAGTACTGATTTTCTGCAGTTATCACTTTCTATAAGTACTGTTTTTCTTTCTTCTTAGCTGGTTTTCGTACACATATTTGGCAGTAATTGTAAATTATTTCATAAACGATGGTAGAAATTATCGGTACTAATGCACATCAGTATTTAGTGAAAAAGTTTTACAATAAAGGTACATGTAATGCTCATAAATATTAGCTATAAAACTTCATATACAAAAGAGATATGTCGTTTAACTTACACTGAGCACAAAAGCTGAATATACATACAATGTATATGTAAATTAAACCAGGCGTAATTTTGACATAGGTGTCATGAAATTGTATGAATACATTTGAAAAGTAAAATCTTAAAAGGAATGTCACTTTTACAATTTCGTGTACATGTACCTATTGACACTTAAAAAAGTACACGTACGTTGTGGTGGGGTGTGGGGTTTTTTTTTTGGGGGGGGGACATCTAGTCCAAAATGGTAATCGTCCAATAATACATGCGCACGCATGGTTTATCGTCCAATAATACATGTGCACACATGGTTTATCGTTTATTTCAAAACTATAAGTTGCTTTTAACAAGTCAAGTGTCTATCGATGCAATTCATAACTTGAGTACAAAGCAAAATGTGACGTCACAATTATAGCAAAGTACATTAAATCATTATGCGCAAGCTTCAATCAGTTGTATTGGTCAAAAAAGTGTATGTTACTTTTCCTTAATGATTCTTTTTAACAATGTGTATAAAACAATCTTATAACTT